TGGGTTTAGGGGTTTAGGGTTTAGGGGTTTAGGATTTATTTTTTTTAGGGGTTCAGGGTTTAGGGGTTTAGGATTTAGGGTTTAGGATTTAGGGTTCCCTGAGAATTCCCGAACACCATCCCTAAACTTGAGTCTGCATGGCCGCTATGTACTCCCACGTAGTTTGCAGTTCTGAGCTCCATCAGCGTAATGGCCCCTAGGCCACGCTCATGTTTGACATTGTCCCCGCTGCCCCGGAACATCCCTAAACTTCCTAAATACTGTTCTTAGGGTCCCGTATCATGGTTTCAGCATAATGCGTGCAAAAACTCTATCCGACTTAGTAGTGGCTTCTAGACTAAACCCTTATGGTAGCCCTGATAGTATCCCTTATACACCGCTTTTACTAACAACAAGACTGCTCTAATTACAACCCTATACCCAAAGCCCTAAACCCCTCAACCCCAAAACGTTTCAACCCTTAAACCCCTAAGCCCCTAAACTTTTCAACCCTTAAACCCCTAAAACCTACCACCCCGCGGGCCTTGCGAGTCAGGTGCTCCGAGAACCGGGTCGGCGAACTCGGCGGCGAGGCGGCGGCGCTGCTCGCCCGCCTCTCTAAAAAGGATCTGGGTTCAAGTTGGGGGTTTAGGGTTTCGGAGTTTAGGAGTTTTTTGGTTTTAAGGTTTAGGAAAGCTTAGGGGTTTAGGGTTTCGGAGTTTAGGAGTTTTAGGGTTTAAGGTTTCAAAATGTTTTAGGATTTAAGGGGGGTTTAGGAGTGTCAGGGTTTAGGGCCTTTAATGGTTACCCAGAGACTCCAATATCCCTTAATTAAGGAATAGACCATGAATTAAATAGGATCCCTAATATGATTTATAAGGAATATTCCGTAATTGAGGGATATTGGAGAAACTCTGGGTAGGGGTTTAAAGCACTCCTCGTGTTGAACTCACTCCTTGTTAACCCTCTGGAACTCTTCTGTTACCCTCTGGAATCTTTTCTGTACAGAAACACTTCTATAGACGCCTTCTGCATAAGTAAACTACTAGCAGGGTTATAAGTTTTAAGAACCTCATGTAGGGTCGCAAGTAGATACAACTATAGTGACCTTACTAAATCTCCTGATCCCGCATTAGATCCTTGGTAACATCTAGGACCTTTAATAATTTCAACCCCCAAACCCCTAAACCCTCATAGAACCCTCAAAGGAACCCTAAACCCTAAACCCCAACCTTAGCAGGTAGCACCTTCGCCTCCAGATCCGCAAAGTCGAAGAGACATGTCGGTGGATTGTCTGCCTCAGCATCAGAAAAAGCTCCCAACGTCCCCCGTGGGGTTCCTTGAAGATTTCTCAACTAAGAAAGTATCTATAAGATCCCCCCGCAAAGGTTCGACAAGGCTTTGCCGTTTAGGGATCAGGGTCTGAGGGCTTAGGGCCTAGGGAGTGTGTCCCACATCTCCCGATTAAGGAGCATTCTCTTCCAACTACACTACGAGCATGGGCTATGATGGGAAAGCTTTGGGATGAAGGTCTGCTCGTTCATTCTTGGGCTGGATCGCAAGGGTCGAAACGTCCTGACCCTAAACTCTGAATGATATTGTATTTCGGCCTTACAGAAATCTATAAGCGCCCAAGACAAACCATTCAATCGCAAGTTCAATCTATAGAATGCACTTAACTTAACAAATCCCGAAAATGTTCAGGGCTTAGATGTCAAACTGTCAGAGGATGGGGCACCCTGAAAAGCGGAACGACCTGCGGCCGCGCATAAGATCACAGCTTCAATGCTTCACAAATGCATCTCCAAATTCCAGTCAGCCAAGCATGCTTCGATAAGGAGAAGAAACTAAACCGCAACTTCATACAACTCTAAAACCCCAAAACCCGAAGCCCTTGAAGGATCCCTTAAAATGATCCCTGAATTAAAAGGAAAAGCCTTAAACCTCTGAAGGATCCTTTCAAAGGACCCCTTAAAGGAACCCTTAAAGGATCCCTTAAAGGATCCCTTGAGGGAATCCTTAAAAAGGAACCCTTAAAGGATTCTTTTCCCTGAAAGGAGCCCTTAGAGTATCCTTTGAAAGGATCCCTTACTTACAGGGCGCTTTGAGGGAGCCTCAACCTGCCGGGGCCCCCGACCGGATCTTCAAAAGGATCCCAGTGCTCCGCCGAATGCATCAACGGCGGGCTTTTTGGGTTCGGGGTGTAGGGTTTAGGGGGTTTAGGGGGTTCAGGGGTTTAGGGTTTTGGGCTTATGGGTCCAGGGGTTTAGGGTTTGGGGCTTGTGGGTTTAGGGTTTTGGGGGTTTAAGCGTCTGGCTTGAAGTTTTGGGTCTGAGGTTTTTGCAGAGAAAAGGGTTTAGGGGAATTTTTCAGTGTTTAGGATTTCGGGCTTTTGGGCTCTACAGGCCATGGTGCTGAGGGTTTAAGGCTAAGGATTGTTTCAAGGGTCAGGATTCAGGGCTTCGGCTTAGGCTTTGCTTGCGAAGAAACGGATTTGGGGTGGGGTCGGGGATTTAGCGATTGAGGTTTGAGGTTTATGGTTCAGACTTAAATCGCACAGGTGTAGCTACGCGGCTTCCGAACTCGCGCAAGCAAGCTGGAATGGCAGCGATGTCTGAATCTTGCCAGGCAGGAGAGTGTCAATAGATGCACCTATTCAATGGCACACGGACAGCTGCGAAGCTTCCAACCAGTGTGGGTCCTGCTTCACGCATCAACCCGTGACTTTCATTCGTCACATCCAAGACCGTAAAGCACCCCGCTCTATACGCTGCATGCACCCTGCCTTGTAGGGGTGGTTCACTAAAGTGGAATCCGAAAAACATGAGCAAAACGGTGTGGGGCCTGAGAGTCTAGGTTGTCTACAGCGAAAGGCGCGATAAGTTAGGATAACCCCAAGTCCCCTGATGCTCAAACCTTTCTGAAAATATCGAAACCCAGCATAAACTCCTTTCAATCAGGGTTGAGCGGAAAAGACCCTGAACTCTAACCCCCCTAAAGAAACCCCGAACACCTCAAGCCCGAAAAGCGCATCTCGTTTCAGGGCATTCGCCCTCCATCCGCAGACTCCGAGTCATCGTATCAACAAACGAAGAGGCCTTTGGGGTCAACATGATATAGGAGCCTGAATGAAGACATGGAAAATTACAATTAGTAGGGTTCCTTTCAGAGTATCGGAACCGGGTTTCTTTAAGGGTTCCTCCCGAGGGTTCAAGAAGGAACAATCTATAAGGGTTTAGTATGGGTGGGGGCCTTGAGAAATAGAATGTTAGAGCTGAATCGGGCTCCTTTAAGTAAACTTTAAGGGTTGTATGACCAAAAACTCTGGTTCAAAGGTTTCTGGTAGTTGTCGACCTAGACGCTGCAGACCTTATAGTAACTTATGGAGCCCCATATATACCCCTTGTGCAAGATGGGGCCCGATAATTAGAATAGGGCTCTGGGACAATTTTTTTGTATAACTTTGAAGGGGCTTTGGAGTGATAATACGTCTATTCAAACCTTTACGCTCAGTCAGCATCCTCAAGCCTTTAAATCCCTACTGCGGGGGCCTGACTAGTTGGAATAACAATAGGGCTTGTGTAAACTATGGTGCATTGATAACATCATTCGGAATAATGAACCCGGCGGAATAGTACCATGGTGGCTATTGAAGCCACGATGTTCAATTTCAAACCCTTGACCTGTAACCCCGAACCCTACCTGCACCCAACTACAAAAAAACACAAGCCTCTAGGCGGGCTCCTTACGATGAGCTCCTTGTACAAATTCTTACACAATTACGGTCGGTTCTTTAGGGTAAAAGTAATCTCTCTCCCCCAATAAGCCACAGAAATAAAAGGTTAAACTTTGCGATTCCTACTGAACTATAAGAACCCAAAAAGTTTAAAGGTTGGGTATTGGGGATCTAAGATATACCCTAAACCCAAAACCCCATAAACCCTAAAAGCCCTAAAGCCTTAAACCCCGAACTCTGCCTTTTGACCCCTCCGAGGACCTCTGGACCCCGACAGGCCAGTGCAAAACTACATCTACGCCGCTCCGATCTGACTCCAGGAGATGGGGCTTTGGGGTTGAGGGCTCTTGAAGTTTAGGGTTTAGGGGTCTAGGCGTTTATTGATTTAAAATTTAGGGTTTAGGGGTTTAGGGTTTAGGGCTTTGGGGTTGAGGGCTCTTCAGAGGTTGGGCTTAAGGCTTGAGGTTTTGAGGGTCTAGGGTTTTGAAGTTTCAAGGACTCTGGGGCGAAGGGCACTTAGCTGGGTTTGAGGGATATAGGGATGGGGCTTTGGGGTTGAAGGCTCTTGAGGTTTAGGGCTTGGAGTTTGGGCTTTGGGGCTCTTAGGTTCCTACTTGTAGGATATCATGGGGAACTAAAGGTTAACCTTTTAGGCTTTATAGGGATTAGATAGGGGCCATACTACCAAAAAAAGGTTGCAGGTTACCTACTCTACTACTAGGGGTTTTAGGGTCTAGGGTTTTGAGGTTTTAGGGGCTCTGGGGTTTATTTGGGGCGCTTAGTTGGGTTGGAGCGATATAGGGATGGGAGCTAAGCTCTAAGCCCAAAACGCATTTATCTTATCTAGGTGGGGCTTTTGAAGCATTCGACTAATATTAGTCAATAAGATCCTCTTAAGCCGAAACCATTGTTCTGCTATCAGGTTCGAGGCTCAATGTCTCGCGGTTCGGCTTTGTGGTTTCCCAGGCTCCGGTTTGAGCCCTCCAAGGGAGCTACTCCAAAAGTTCGGGTTCAGATCTTCGGGTTGCCAGAATGAAAGCAAATACCAACCTTTCCTACTATTTGCTTAAGAACCCACCAAGAAATAATAAATATATTCCTTATGGGGGTAATATAGGGATTATTTTTTTTATTTTTTGTGGGTTTCTTAAGCAAATAGTAGTTTCTGACGAGAACCGACCCTGATCTCGAAACCTCGCGCGGGATTTTATACACAGGGTGCATATAAGGCCCGGGAGTGCCACATCCAGCCTGGGTGCTTCAAGAACTAACATGTGCTGCTCCCTCACTTGTGAGGTGGCAGGGTCGTGCCTGGCGCAAAGTTCAAGGAGGGGTTTCGTGTCCAGGGTGCCAATGCTCACAAAGGTTTGGAGGGACGTATGGAGGATTTCGCTCCGTAACCGCAAACATTCTGGCATGTCTGTCGCGCAATGAATGCAAGAGCATGATTATGCGTGGTCTGATTGAGGACTTGTTGTTTGGTGCTTAACTCGGCCCCGCAGCCGGTTGCCGTGCCAGGACATGTTCCGTAACTGTGGTAACGTGCACGATGTGCATACAGACATCTCCCTCCTGATCCCTCCATGCTAGCATGGATCTTAACTTTGACTGACCCATGGCCCCTCAGGGACAATTCGGATCTCTTTTCGGGTATTTATTATAACTGCACCTACTGCCTGCTGACTAAGTCCCCCGACCCTCCATTTTCGGTGAAACTCCAGCCCCGCAGCGGTGATGCGAACCTAAATCCTAAACCCCTAAACCCTAAACCCCTAAACCCTAAAGCCCTAAACCCTAAACCCGACGTGGCTCCGGGACCCCAGACTGGCGGGTAGGACTAGACACAGGGCTTAGGGTCGTGTAGGGGTTTAGGAGTTTAGGGTTCAAGTTCAGGGTTTTGGGGAACACTACCGAAACAAGCCAGTAGATTCCTCGGACCTATGCCTAAGCTACGTCTGCAACTTTGCATAGAGTTTAATTACCATGCTCACAGCGTCTGAGCGGCGATGGAGACGCAGTAGGTGCCCAGCACGGCCTGCATCGCGTTACAGAGCGAATCCTTGCCGTTGCGCCCGACGCCTCGCGTCCAAAACTCCGCGGCATTGCATTTGGCACAAAAATCCCTTCGCCATGCACCACTCATGGCAGCAGCTTCGATCCTGAAGTATTAGTGTCCCCATGGCTGTCGTCATGAGTACTCTGCGATGGCGCCTGTACCCATGAATCATGTGACTCCTGAAGCTCCTGCCCCACGTTTAACTTCTTGAAGCATATCCATAACCCTAAACCCTACCTGCAGCCGAAAAGACCTACCTTTTTAGAATTCCGCATTATGGTTCTATATATAGCTTCTTAAAAGAGTAGTTCTTTTCGGCTACAGGTAAGCCCTAAATACTAAACCGATACTCTCTGGCGACGAACAGGACACGCAGGGCGGTCAAAACGACCGGTGGGCGTGGCTCACGAGCCCGGCCCTAAGAGCTTCGGAGGATGAGGAGATCCAGCACATCTGCTAAAATTCGGGTTTAGGGTTTGGGGCTTAGGGTTTAGGGTTTAGGGAGCATGTCTAACTCGGGGATGAGAACAGAAACTACTGTACGACTCTGCTCATAATCGGCTTTGCTTTTTACATTGGAAGCCTGGGTCCTCCAAGCACGCCTCGAAAGTCAGTCACCCCTGCATGCAGTACGAGGATGCACCGTAACCTAGGAATAACAAGGGCTTCCTTCTTGGCATTGGGTAAGTTCATAAGGAACCTAGGACTACATAAAGGGAATAAGGGTACTACTGGGCATCCTAGAGTACTAGGATCAAGCGGTTTGAAGTCCCAATCGCCCTAAGACGAGCTTTGAGATCCCCAACCTTAGAGCCTATGCCCGAAAGGACTGATCCTAGGAAGTGAAGCTCATATACCTTGACATTGCACCACACAATTACAACAGGCTTTTGCATCCCACAGCTGGCCGAACTCCCCAATGCCTTGAATAGAACTCCCAACCTACCATAGCTGCAAGCCGTTCAAACCAATAGCATCAACAATCGTATGTTCGAATAACCCTTCGGCTTACAGTACAATGCAGCAGAGCTCGTATCCTTAAAAGAAACCCTTGGGCTTAGAGTATGGTGTAACTGAAAAATGACCCATAAGGAACACCACCCAGAAAGCCCTCCGGATTTCGGAAATCCCTTGCTGCCAACGCCTGTTGCCGGGTCGAACTGCCATGGTAGCCTCTCGCCCTGCGTGGGAGTGGAAAGTGCCATGATTTGTTTTGGGTGGGGTTTACTTGGAGCACCATGGGACTTAGCAAGTACGGCTCCTTAAAGGGGTCTATAGGGCTCCTGAAAGGGATCTATAGGGTTTACGGTTCAGGGTCTACTTAAAGGATCATGGGACTTAGTAAGTAGGGTTATAGGTACGAGTACCCGAATTGGGGTTATAAGTAGAGATAAGTATGGTTGCCGTATTTATAACCCTACTTGCTAAGTCCCCTGATCCTCTAAGTAGGGCTTAGACCTTCGGCAGGGTTTCCCTGAATCCAAAACCCTAAACATAAAAGCCCAAACCCTGAGCCCTAAACCCTCCTCCGAAACCTCGAAGCATGGTCAAAGTTCCAAAGGTCCCGGGGCTCACAAAGATCACCTTACAAAGGCATTTGCATCAACTTCTGCGAGACGGAACTTACCTCATTTAGGACCACACACCTTACACAAACCCAAGGAAGCGTCTAAACCCAACCTCTCGGTCAAAACTCTTGGATTCTAAGGTTCACTGCTCAGAGGTTCGAGGAAGACGGCGGCGGTAACTCCACTCATAACTTACTCCCGCACACCCTAGCTACGGTCTCAAATCCGGTTCCCGTTTAAATCGTGACTGTCCAGTTCTGTCGTTGGAATCTGGTAAACAAACGCGATGTAGCCAAGACAGGAACTACACTGAAAACTATAAACGACACCCCCTGAACCTTGAACTCTTGTGAAACCCTCAGGGAAAGTCGAACAAAGAGAGCCCTTGGCCCTTCTTTGATGAACCCCCCGAGAGGTAACCCCTTAACCCTGAAGCTCCTGATTCCTAGACCCTAAACCCTCAAAGGCGAAACTCCTAAACCCCCAAACTTAAAGCTCCAGCGCCTCATCATCCAGGACTTCGATGGAGTCTACGGCAGCCTTGGCTTTGGGAATGACCTGTGCAATGCGCCAGTTTCAAGTGCTATATAGGGGTTTGATGAATCAGAATAGGGTTCCCTTTAAAAGGGTCCTTTAAGGGGCTACTACAAGTGATACTATGAGGGTACCATCATATAGGGGTCTTTTTAATCTCGAACTTGGTTTTGGTGTCCATTATACGAGAGAAACCACCCGAAATAGTAAGGGTAACTCTTTAGGCCCCCACATTAGGGCTCAGGAGCTATGGCTTGGGAGTCTTACTAGGAACCCATCTTTCTTGAGGGTTTAGCACTGCTTAGAGTTCGGGTTTTGGGATTTCCGATTGATTTTGTGATGTCCTTCTCGAGGCGTCGGGACAAGGAGGGCTCCAGAGCTCGAAAACCTACAAAGCCCCGTGGCCCGTTTAGCCACGGTTTAGGGTTTTAGGGCCTTTAGGGTCCAGCAAGAAACGTCAGTTCATACCAAAACCCTGAACCCTAAGACCAACATATGTGAACCCGACTTACCGGCCTACCGAGTCTCCGGATCTCAAAGGTCCAATAAACAAGGCTTCAACGCCTATGAAACCCTTCGAAAGCAGACTCACTAAAGCCTCCGATCCTAAAGCACTATAAGCCCCCACAGCAGCAGCTAAGTAAGCCCTATAGACCATAGAAACACTACAAAAGCTTAAGTTAAGACGTGGTTTCAGATAGTCGTACCTGTCGGATAGAAGTTAGAAGCGGCCTAGGTTCCTTTTCGTGGTCCACTTCCTGGCCTGGTCGAACTTGGCAAGCTCCGGCGCCACGACCACCTCGGCGCGTTTTTCTTTTACAAGGGTTTAACTTCTGCCCACCACGGATTTTAAACGGGTTTTGGTGTGGTTTCGAATGAAGGAGTTAACCCGCCCAATGCTTCCAGGGTGACTTGTGTGTGGATTCATTGCGGTTTCGGGGGAGGTGTCCAGAAGATCGATCTTGGTGGGTGCGCTTAGGCTGTTCGCGAGGAGCTTTAGTAATTTTAGCATTATACATGGATTCAGGTTCAGAGTTCATAGGTTCAGGAGCTGATCTGGGGACAAAACCCAGAGGATAGGGTTTTGGTGGTATCCTTGCTTCGTGCACACCTGAAGCCTTGAACACCCAAGGCCCCTGACTATACACCTCCCTACCTTTCTACGGAAGGAGGTTTAGCAAACACGGGTCTACATTACAACGAAGCCCAGCCGAACTCCCCACCTCTGCAGTTTTTGCTCCTTAAAACCCCTATACTAGCCTTATTGAAATCCTTACGAACGCCACCACCTGCTTGTTGGATGGCAGTCTCTGCTTCTTCTCGACGACCGGGGATCCTGTAAGCTCTGCCAGAAGCTTGCCGTCTTGGCCAGCAACTGTGCGGCTCAGATTCCCGACCACCCGGTAAGCCAAGCGCAGACAGTATTTGTTGCGGATGCCCGACCATCCAACCTCTGCTGCTCCTCAGGTGCAGGCTCTTCTGTGACAGAACGGTATCCAGAATCCCGAAGAATCAGCCGAGGGCCCCATGCTGCCAGCCCAGTGTGGCTGTCCACGATCGCAAAGTGCGAGCTCTTCTGACCTCCAACGCGATCTCATCGAACGCACGTCTTCGTCGACCAAGCGCCCGCGGAGCGGACATCCAGCACCGGAACCGCTGTCGGATATTCTGCCTGGCCTTGATCATCGATCGAGCTCAGATGGCCCGTACCCTGAGGTTCTTTTAAGGGATCCCTTGAAGGGATCCGTTTAAGGGATCCGTTTTAAGGGATTCCTTTAAGAGATCCCTCTAAGGGAATCCTTTACGTGTAGGGATCTAGGACTTGGCATCCCTGAAGCCCCAAGAGCCGGTACCCCAAACTCACTGAGAGCTGAAAGCCTGAAACGCAAGGAAGGCTCAAAGAAGCACGCTTAGGTCTCAAAGGGTTTTGGGCTTTTTGGGTTTCAGGGTTTGGGGTTTTAGGCTTTGGGACTTCAGTACTAGGCGTCGAGTTCAACAGTCACCAAAACGTAAGGGAAACTGAACCTAATCACTGGGTTTTGCTATGGTATACTGTAACTATATAGAAGCTACCAGTGATGCTCTAGATGGTTCTGCCTCTGGATGCCTCAGAATCCTCACATTAAGTTGATCCTTTCCATGGCTTTCAAAACTGTTTTTCTACGATTTCTATAGAGGGTCTCAACTTAGGCATCTCTTTCAGCATCTAGTACACAGCTGACCGATCCGAAGTGAGACCCCTCCCTGCGCGCTGTCAAGCGGCCATGTCTGTCTTGTCATAGTAGGAACCTGGAAGCAACGTTTAGGGTTTAGGGTTGAGGATTTAGGGTTTAGACTGCAGGATATCCCAGAGACTGCAAAACTCTTTAAATCCAGGAGTATCCCTGAAAGTATAATTAATAGGAGCCCTAACATGATTTCAGGTGTATTCCTTAACTGAGGGGTTCTGGTGTCTCAGGACCCTTCTATTCCACTTTGAGCCCTACTTGAACAAAGGATGCCGAAACTAAGTAAGCCACTTGTAAACAGAGTTGTAAGTAGGATGGTCCCGATTGAGCTCCTCAGAACGTAGAACCCCGCTCATACTATCACGCACGAAATCTTGGCGGGAAGGATTCTCATTGGGTTTGCTGAGTTTCCCAAACGCCTTGGCATGTTCAAAGAGCAGAACACCCCAACAAGGTTTGTCAAGCCGCCTTTGATAAACACCTAAGACCTGAGGCTTCTGTTTTTCAATCCTTGCAATGGCTTCGGATACGTATTTCGAGGGTCTAAGCTTCAAGAGCTACTGTTCAGCCAGAAAACCTTTGGGATTCAGGGTCTATCAGTCGCCCAAAACCCAGCATTGCCTTAGCTTGAGCATTTAAAGTTTGGGAATGCCCTCTGAACTAGGGGAGTTGCACCGCCATGCTTTGCTTGGAGGATCTCGTCCAGGGCTCTACCACACGACCCTCACCCCACAGTGCTATCCTCTCTTCAGTCTAGCTACAGTGTACGGCCCTGTTCCACCTATTCAGGCCCGATGTGAGACCCTAAAAATCCGAAACACTCAGCCCCCAAAGCTTCAGAAGTCCCTGAAACCGGGAACAGAACAAAACCACGTGACTAGGGATCGGGAGTCCCGATTCAGAGGCCTGTCTAGAGTTGTAGGAGTCGAGGTGGGTTTAGGGTTGAGGGAGTCCAGATGTTAGAGGTAGGGCTTCAGGGGTAAAATTGTCTTCGGGACTGCTGGCTTAGGTTATGGGACGGGCGGTGAAGGAGGTTTGCGGATCCAAGAACCTATCTAGCTGAAGACTCCTAGTGAAAATTGTCCCGCTGCGCTGTAAACTGATCTTTGAATTGGCCGTAAGTATGAGCATGAGATCGCTGAATCACTCTGTGTCTCAGACAGTAGTACAAGGATGAACTTAAACACCACCAGCGGCGACTAAGACAGTAGGGCTTGTGACTCCGTAGTATGGTTTCTACATTGGCTTTAGCGGAACCTCCAATCCCCAGTTGCTTTAGTGCCCCGTTTCGCTTCCCGCACGCGAAGGCCGCACAGACGAACAGCTGGAGGGCCGCACCATCCGGCTTAAGGCCGAGGGGTTGGATCACGACGGACGGCACTTCAGAGACCTGCAAGAGCTTCCCGAAAAAACTTCAGATTCAAAAACAAAAACCCCACGGTCTCTAACAACTTTAACACCCCAAGCCTCGGCATAGCTACTCTAATCCGACGTCGCAGTGTATGGCAGTATGGTTCAGGATTTAGGGCTTACCTCAACATGAATTATATCTACAGCAGCAGCAGCAGCAGAAGATGCAATAGCAGCAACGCCAGCCTTAGACAGAATCAACAGATTCGAGCAGCAGCACCGGCAGTGCAGTGCTCCTGCGAGGAAAAAGTCTTCTACCGGAGAGGCTCAGAAGTCTCTGGGGCCTGCTCACAAACTCCCAAACCCCAAACCCTGAGTCCAATGCAGTGAGCAAAGTCCAGTCCTCGACTGCTTCCTCCATCCTTGCTTCACAAGCCTCTGCCAATTGCAAGACCCCTGGCACCCAAATAGACAAACAACAGTTGAGAATTCATACAGCTACTAGGTAAAGGGCATACCCTCCAAACCTTGAAAGATAGAACTCAGCCATAGAAAGGACACCAAACAAAACGTGCAACCCTTTCAACATCCCATGAAAGCCCTGCGAAACCCTCGATAAAGGTTCAGGAATCCCCGAATTACACCATTCCTCGAGCTCCCCCTGGCTCTTAGGCACCTCAGCATCGTACGCTGCCATGGGCGCATCGTCGATGTCGCACGTGTAAAAGGTGCACTTCGGATAGGACTTCGACATTGCCTGTGTTGCTTGCAGGCTTAGGGTTGAGGGGCTTTTGTACGTTGGTTGGGGCTTTAGGGTTTTGGGGGTGTGTAATTGGGGCTATAGGCCTTTACGAGTTCGGGGTTAGGGTTTAGGGTTGAGGTTGTCTTTAAGTCTCAGGTGGGGAAAACTTTGGTAGTCGACTCCTGTTCCTAGGAGCATGTCCGCCGGCCCCCGAGATGGTTGTGAGCAGCAAACCGCATTTAGGGTAAGCGCTTTAACAGCTTGCGAGTGGACACTTCCGGTATGTGTTAAGGTCTAGCGGATGGTTTAGGGCATGCAGCGGCCATAATGTTCTTAAGCCATGAAGAAGATGACAGCGCCTGCGAATTTCAACTCCCAGGACCGTGCTTGGGAAACCTGCACTCGCTTGATGTGCAGACGTAGTCTGGACTTTCTTGCATGACCCTAAATCTCAGTTAAATCTCAACCCAAATTCAGATGCGTGTTGAGCGTACTTAGCTTCGCGGTTTCGGGGAAAAGGCATTCCGTTTCCAGAGTTCAGGCTTGATGGGGCTTGTGCAGACGAGGCTTTAGATTTGGGTTGCAAGGTTCGACGCAAAGCCCTCTCAAAAATCCTACAAAGCATCTCACAAACAAAGTCAAGCCAAGACGCTTCAAACTGCTCTTGGTACATCTTGGAGGCCATACTCCAGTGGCCCGTGAAGAAGCCAACCTTACACCCATCTTGGAGGGTGCGGGAACTTAGCAAGGAGGTAGTAAGTAGAGGTAGAGTTGTAAGTGGCCAAACAAAAAGAGGGATCCTAATTGGGCTTGTGAGACTTATGACTCCATGAAACTAACTACTTACCATGTCCCAGGACCCTCCAAGATGAGTGTACTCAAAGGATCATGGGACTTAGTAAGTAGGGTTATAATTACCGTAATAAAGGTTATAACTATAGTTACCTTACTTATAACCTACTTACTAAGTCCCATGGTCCTCTAAGTAGCGATTGTGATCCAAGTATGCTCACCAGGCTCGACAATGCAATAGCCATTTCTAGCCAGTTCGTTGGTCATAACCACAGAAACACTACGACGAATAAGCTAAACAGAACAACGGTGGTAAATCCAGTGAACACTTGTCATAGTCATTAGAGAGTTTATGATGGTACTTGTAACAGCACTAGTCACTAGTATTCATGATAAACCTACTGGTCCAGTTTCATGCAGGAGCAATCAACAGTCAGTTCTTGCATGCATGCAGTAGGTATACTCACTGCGAGAGCTGACGGTTGACCTACTCGTCTACTAAGCAGTGACAGCAATAATGACAACCCCATGTGGAAGATAAGCGGGCTTAGCAAATCAATTACAACATAACCTTAGCCTGAGCGTACAACCATACTTCCAACCGACTTCTCGAAGGCTTCAGATGCGATGCTAAGACTCCGTTATACTGCCAAGCATGTACTCTTGCACAACTCTAACCTCCAACCCTCCTCCTTTAAGCCCTGAAGGACCTTGGGATAAAGGTCATCATCGATGCCGAAATATTTCGCAGTTAAGTCCCCTTGTTGATCCTGTCAGCTGTCTGAAATATGCCCTCAAAGCCCTATCATGACTAAGGCCCCCATCATGTAGAACTCTTGTAGATCCCCTATACATCCCTACAAGAACACATGGAAGAAGCTTATTCACATCTGTGAGGTCCCGATCGTACTATCCTTAGACTTAGGGGAGCCGAGAGCTGCGCCATCATCGAAGACTTTGAGGTCTTGATCGCCTCATACTGAGCAAAGTCCTGGACAGGGGGCAAGAGTCTCAAGAGGGTTTAGGTTAGGGTTTAGTAGGGTTTACGGTTGCCTGGTGTTCGGAGCGGGGTAGCTGTAATAGTCACGGTGGTTCATCTCGACACCAGACACCCGCGAATCCCAACTACTAATAAGCCGCAGGGTTCAGGTCTGAAGACTTCCAGGGGCCAAGAGTACAAGCTTGGGAACAGACTGTAGCATGACCTATACCTCGAGCTACCAAAACCTACTACTTTGTAGGGGCCCCTGCAAGTTCCATGACAGGATTTATGATAAGAGACTACAGAAAAGGTTATGGTAGTTGAAGGTACTGAAGCTGCCGTCTGCTGTACCGTAGTCTCGCCGCTTTTCATGAGGCTTGCCTTGATCGCCGGCAGGCTCAACAAACGACGGCTGAGGCGCATGGCCTGGGCTCACGAGGATTTGGCTTCAGTGTTGGGTCGTAGAAGACTCGGGGTGAAGGAGGCCAAGGTGTAGATGCACATGGCCATCAATGTCGGAATTTTGAGGGAACTGTTGGCGAAGTCTTGCAGGAAGTGGGCCCGCGACTCCAAGCTTAATCTTGCAGGGGATCCTTGGCAAAAAACCAGAGCAACGACAAGCGAACACTGAACCTAACAACCAGCAAATGCTAAACCTCAAAACGGCCAGGGAACAGCTACTTACTTGGTTGCTTAAGCCTGGTTGAACCTAAAGCCTGTACCCTGAATCTCAAACCACAATCCAAACAACCCGGAAACTCCAAAAACAACAACCCTTGACACGACTCACACTGGGGGTCCTCCATAGGGGCCAGCTACCTAAGCGCTGGAGGAGTCTCGGCTTCCCCAAACCCCCTAAACCCCAAATCCTGCCTTCCCCACCTATAGTCTATAGTCTGCAATGCAGTTCTTTTTATTTGGTTCAACCGGTCTTGTATCTAGGATACGCCAATGAAACCCAACAAGGAACTACAAGGGAGATGATAGGGAACACCACCTTTCAAAACAATGCCGGGTCGCCATGGCGTCGGGAGCGCGGCGTGCAGGACTTTTCTGCGGCTCTCTTGGTGGAAACACGCTGCGGTGGAGTACTCTATGCATAGGCCCCAGAGTAATTCCTTTTTGGGATTACCTTATAGGGTTCTACGTATGAGCCCCAAAAAGGAACTACCATGGGGCCTACGGGTAAACCCCTAAACCAGCATGAGGGTTTTTCCCAAAAGATCCCAAGCCCAGACCCTCAACAACCAGGATCATAGGACTATGTCACCGGATACAAAGGGCCGGTGATATTACCATGGACTTTCGGACGGGCCTCAATAATGAACTATTTTTCGGGGATGTTCCTTTTATATACATATATATGCTTGCATACATACGCACATTTTCCATCCATCCAACCATCCATAGCAAAACCCGAGTGCTTTAGACGATTGAACTTCGAGGCATTAGCTTCTACCCATCGTAGAACCAATTGAGAGCACCAAGCACTAAAGCTTGAACCAAAACCAGAAATCCTGAAATCTAAACTCGGCGCCCTGAACCCAGCACCCTTTTCCGCCAGCTCTCTTCAAGCTCCGCTCTCAGCTCTCCCTCCTTGTGCCGCGGCCGGGGAGAGGGCAGCGGAGCAGGAAGGAAACCTAAGTCTCCGAAACCGTGGCTTTGAGTTAGGGTTTAGGGTTTAGGCTCACGTAGGCTTTAGGGTTTAGGATTTGAGAGTGCGCGTTGTTCGACTTCATCGTTTGAGTTTTACGGGAGTTTACGCACGGGCTTGGTAAGGACTTGGTACTTGGACTAGGGCTCGGGGTCTATTCAGATAGAGCCGAGATTTTCAGGGGATGCTCCTACCATTCGTTCAGACCATGTCAGACCTCTGCTGTAGAAAGCTCTGGGCGAGGTCTTGGGGCTCTTTCGTGCCTCCATGAGGACCTCGGAAAGTACTGGAGCTGCCTTAATAACTATAAAAGGGTTTTGGAGCCGATTATACTATAATATATAATGACAATGGGGTTCCCCAAAGTCGTGTAGGTAACTACTTAGGCCCCCGAGATTATCCGGATTTGTTGGCTGTGGTCTGAAATGCTGCAGCGACCGGGCAGCTGCAGTCGTGACTTTTATCCTCTCAGTATGAAGACGCCAATGTTCTCATGCTCAATCGTGATCAACGGTTAAGATTCTTGGTCTTTAAATCCAAACCCACTTGATGTCCAGCACCCTGGAATCACAAGCGCCCAGGCTTGAACCCTGAACACAAAGAGCCCATCACCCGTTTACAAGGAATGCTATAAGCCCCCAAACCGAATACAGCCCCGAACCCAGTTGTCGCCCAGCGGCCCAAACAGCGAACAATGCGTTGTAGGAGGTCAGCCTCTTCTTGGAGGAGACTACAACATCTTACACTACAAAAACTACTATAAATGCTATACACGTAAAGCATACAGAAAGTAGATGCAGAGAGTGGGCAGACAGACAGACAGACAGACAGACCGACAGATGTCGATATCAGATAGCTAGAAATGTGGACGGGCAGGTAGAGAGACAAACAGACACGGACGGAGACAGACAGACAGATAGCACGACGGAGCCCGTGGACAACGACGAGCACAAGGACATTTGCGGTTATAATCTTGGTCGTCGATAGACAGACAGACAGGCGGACAGACAGACAGGCGGACGGACGGACAAACAAAGGCCTCGGCTTCGGCTAAGGCCCGCTGTTCGGCCTGGGCAAGCCAGGGAAGTTTGCTTTTTTTCAGGTGTTGCAAAGCTCTCATCGGCGGCCGTCAGGTTGATGAAGCAGGGATTGGGATGGTTTAGGGCTTTTACTATTCGCTCGAAGGTTGTAGCTTGATTTCGGGCCTTGCCCAGAGGCTCAGGGTTTTTAAAGGCTCGGGTTTAGGGTGTAGCGTTTGGGATTCTCGGAGGTTAGGGCAGGAGGGCTTGGGGTTCTCGGTCTAATGTTTCAGAACTCAGGGTTCGGGTCTTGGCCATCGTGGGCTTAGGGAATTATAAGCCCTTTGGCCGGATTCCGGGTGAATGACTTAGAGTGTAGGGCCTCGCAATCTCAAAAGACCTTCCGAAAGCGTGTATGATACCCCGAACCCCATGGCTAGCGCTGACTCGGAGATCCTCTAGGTGCACTAATAGCTAGAGATTGTAAAGAGGTTTCGATTTGCAATGTGTGCTATTGGGGCTAAATAGGAGAAGGAGCTCCAGGCCCCAAGAAAGCATGTTACGAAGTGTTCAGGCCTTTCTGGTATTCTAGGGTCTGGGGCAGACGTAGAATTTATGATCTTTGCGCATCAAGTCAAGCATGCTCCTCGGAAGTCACCCGAAGCTTTGAACTCCTAAGAGCTCTACTTTGAGCTCTTGGGCTTTCGGGCACAAACCTTCAAGCCCTACATCCGAAAAACTAACACCCTGAACCTTGCACGCAAATTCGCAATCCCAGAAAACACTGCCTCCGCCAGGAGCACGGAGGAAGCGAAATCATCAGGCTCCACAGCACCGTGGAGCATTTCCTGCGCTTCTCTTACGGCTGAGAACTTCAATCCACGTGTCTCGGTGTTTTTCGGTTATAAACCCGAAGTACTAAGGGTTTCGGGGGCTTTGGATTGAAGGTGTCCTTCAGCAGGTTCAGCATCTCCTCCCACTGCGATGCGGCCCCGCAAGCGGCCAAGGCGGTGTTGTAGGACACCGCTCCAAACTCGACGGCCTAGCAAATTCATATGTGTAGGACTCATGTTCTAGATCTTCAAGGAGGATTCGGGGAGTAAGGATCTGCAGTAAGTCAGTTAGGCGTTATGCAGGCTTGGCGGTTACATGAGCAATTCGAAACATAGTGTACCGAAGATGATTCTAGTTTTTACCTGCTTACTCGGTCCGTTGTTCGTCACAGCACTTGACGGCCAATGGATATGGTGCACTTAAACAATACATGTATGCGGGTCCATATATAGATATACACATATATATGTATATATATATATATACATGTATTTTTTATCATTCTTAGGTCGATCATAGGGGATCGTGCGTAGAGGAGCAACGTGAGTCCCAAAGACCAAACACCCAAACACACCAAGTCCGAAACCATTGAACCCCACCCTCGAACCGTACCAAGAGAATCCTACGCAAGGATCAATCAATATTCGGACTGTATCAGGGCTGCACCTTCTGACCCAAAAAGAGATTTGTTTATTTCGAAAAGGGGTGGGAACCCCAGCAACGCCATGACCATTAGAAGTGTTGGCTCTTGAATTCGAAGCCTTCGTCCGCATCTCTTCGAGCAGGTCCTGGCGCTCAAAGTCTCAGTTTTCGGCGCTTTGAACAGATAACTAGGTTCCCCAGTGTCCCCTTAGTAACAAGGGTGCCCCTCTTCCTGCTATTGAGTTGTTAACGGCTGACACTCGGGGCTTAGGGGCAACAATTTCAATTGCACGCTTTGGGTTTGGGTGCAGGTTTCGGTCTTGTTTAAGTCTATGTTCCGCCAACATTCCAACACACCCACTCCAGTTGGAGCAAATACAGTTAATTTTCGGATTCAGCAAGCTGCCAGACCAAACCAGAAACCAGGACGCTACCAGTTGCCAGTCGGAGACGAACACACCTTAAAAGCTGCGGAAAGCCAGCCTGAGCCTGAAACTGACCGAAAGTATCTCCTAAACCTAATAACCCGCAGTCCAGTTGGCAAGCCACCATCAGACTACGTACTAATTAAAACCGAAGTTTCACCCGAAACCAGCAAACCCTCATGACCGAACTTTGAGCTGTGAAGCCCTCGTAACATGTTAAAAGCCCATTTTGAGCTACAGCTCTCGAACTCGAACTCCTAAACCTTAACTTCGAAGCGACCATGGTGACCTGGCATTGGCCGACCTTCTTGCTTCAGTGTAGGATGCGGAAATGACTACAATTAAGTGCCAGTCAATCCACTCCCAAGGCCACAAAACACGCGACATGCCAAACAATTCAACCGCTTGAACCTTACGCCCACAAACCCGTGTAGCAGGGCCCTTAACAATTAGAACTAGGTGCTAGGGAAAAAATTCAACTCTTACCTGCTAACGGCGCTAACCAGAAGCCCTAAGCCTGAGCCCCACTTGGAAGATCAAGAGACTTAGTAAGTAGGGCTATAAGTAAGGTAATTATACATCTCTAAACTAAAGTTTACTAAATATACTTATACCAACTTATCACCCTAGTTAGGGTAAACCAACAAATAAATAAGCATACATATATATATATATATATATATATATATATATATACACGCATAAATATAAGTATAAAAATATAAATACAAATATGTATATGTGTATATCTATCTATCTATATATATATATATATATATGTCACCCTACTTATACTAAGTCTCGTGAACCTGCACGTACAGCCCTCCCTCCGAGAACAAACAAAAATGGGTCCAGCGCGGAGGCCCACTGCGAGCCCCTTGCCGCTGCGCTGGCGGCAGCACTGAAGCCTTCGGTCGAGTTGACAACACCAAAGGTAGAACGCCTATAAGCTCACATGTATGTATGTATGTATGTATGCATGTATATATGTATGTGTAACATACATATATACACCAGCATGTTCAGGCTTTATAAGATGGTCATAATGAGTTAGACTAGTGGGTGTTGTGCCATGTGCGAAATCGCTTCACTGCCAAGCTGCTGATCACATTCGGATGGACCCTTTCCTTGGTCACTCTCAACAGGGAGCTTTCTCAAGCTATAGGTCAGTCACCATAGCGAGAATCAACTTTCAACGCCCAAGCCCAAAACCTAAAACCTTCCAGGACTTGTGTCCTTTGTTTCACTGCATATGCTGTAGGTTTGAGTCGGAACGCTTTGCTGAGAGATAAGGGGAGTGAAAGCCATCCAAAGTTGAAGAAGCAGAATGACTGGAATCTTGGCCACGAAATCGTCAATTCCAATCCTAATCTGCTAAACCCATGAACAAAAAGCCTTATGCAGCCTTGAATGCTGTCTTGAGAAGTCAGGCTGAGTCAAATTCCGAAGCCCATCTCTCTTAATTAAGTAGATAGGGCGGTAGAGATAATCTCAAGCTCCCGAGAAATACACAGTCAAGTCGCCAGCTTCATCCGCTGTAGCAAGGCCAATGAGTCCGCCCATTGGTCCTAAGCCGGAAAGGGCAAACCGATGTGTTCAGTCGCAGCTGCCTCTACCTCTAAATGCTACGACCACAAAGTAAACCCTTGGTAGATGCATTATGTATGTATATATGTAGGTAGGTAGTTACGCATGTAAATACACTGTAGCTAAATGCTTCCTTACATACACACACACACACACACGCACGTGTACGCGCCACATTCCAACTACATGGCTCCCAGGTATTGCCTGGAAGACACAGGAAAGGAGCAAGCATGTCCCTGCTCAGCAGATTTCTGAGCTGCGACCGAGCCGGGGTCCCCATGAACGAACCTTATGAATGTAGGAGCCCTGATTAAGAAACCTTATTCGTAGGCTTAGGGTACTTCATGGTTTCTGAATCAGTTTCCTACATTATGGGGTTTTGAGGGTTTAGGGGGGCTCGGGGTTTAGAAGTCTCAAGGCTTGGAGTCTACAGGTTTTGCCTTGTTCCTGGATTTCAAGACCCCAATCCAAATCCAAAATAAACAACCCCAGATGTGTTGACGGCCGACAGCCTTGGGCAGTCTAACCCACCAAGCAGAAGCTGAGTCTACGGAGGTGTTATGGGACATATGCCGAGCTGAACAACATGTTATTGCGGCTGCCATGATCTCTCTTCTCCAATAGCCAGGCCCAAAAAAGTTCAAACTTTTGAAGACAGGCCAAATATGTAAAGCCATAAAGTTTAAAGTTCTCCAATTGGCTAAGTAAGTGATTGGAACAAGTTTCGGGGCGCCATTCGTATAATCATTCAAGATTCTAATGGGGACAGAATACATGCTACAGTACTGATCGTACAGGCTCCGACAGTGCAGCTGCATGTCAGAAATTTCGAGTTGCAGGTTCATTCGTTTGCTCAACCTTTGCAGTTCGCACACCTTACGGAACTGAGCTGCTAGAGCCCCTACAGTTCAGCCTCTCAGTCACCACTTGAGCGAGGGGATTTGGGTAGAGGTCCGTCCTCTTTCCTGCTTTCTGTCAAGCCTCCCCCTTCTCTAAGGCGGTGATCAGCGCGCTGTAGGTGACAACATCCTGCATGGGTGAATTTCAGAACTACGGGCCACTGACATAGTCCCCCGATCTCAGGAGTGAAAGGTAATTACCCCGTACATATCAGAAACTCCCAGCGTGCGACATGCGGATTTCAAAGGTTTAGGGATAGGTTTTCAGGTTGCAGGGTGCCACGGTCGCTAGGATTTGGCACATCGTGATGCAGAAGCTGCTTGCGTAGGCTTGGCTTGATCGAAGACAATCGCTCGAGAATTATGACACCAAGTGGCACTAAGCAACACAATAGCCATTATGATGACAGTACCGAACCAGATTGAAACATAAACGGCAAAACAGTCCCCGAACAAAACTGTCAGGAAGGAACAAACACAAGCCTTAGCCCTGTCAATCAGTCTAAGAAGCATGCTCAAGTTCATTTGCTTCCTAGTCGCAGCTGCTACTTTGCCATTCTGCCTTACACCCTGAAGCTTAACCGCCACGGTCAAAGCCGAAACCTTTGAAATACCTCCGAAACCAAATTCTTGGCAGTAAGCAGGAAGCCTCAAACCCAAAGCCCTGAAACTCAACTCCACGCCTTGAATCCTCAGCCTACACCCAGAAAGAGTCTCAAGCTCTGCATTCGGTCCTTCGGCAGCTTCGCTGATGCCATCTCCTCTGCCACCGCCACTGCACTCTCCCATCGGCCGCCCTTCTCACAGGCCTTTGCAGGTTGGAATTTAAGCGGCTGGGATAATATAGACTAAAGTTTAGACCCTTCGCTACTGAATCTAGGTGCCCGTCCTAATGTTCCTGGATGGAAGGTTTTGGGGGTCTGATCAATCTAGTTTCACTAGTAAGAGTAGGGGTTGGGCGAGTGGCACTTCTGTACTAGTTGACACTTTTAGGGAATACTACTATACTGATTCCTGCGACCCCTATGTATGTGTCGCGGGGCAAAAAGTACAGGGACTTTCGGACTATCAATCCAGTGACTTCCTTAAGTCACCAGCCCACTAGCAAAATGCAAGTTAAATCTGCTACCTTGTCGCGCTAGGGATTGGAGATAACGGGGATACAATTAGACCGCAAGTTAGGTGTCAGTCGGGGGCCCCGCAACGGTGACAGGAAGGCCATGCCAACAGCACTGATAGGCCCTACTTAGAAAGTCAGTGATGTCAGATTTCTAACTCTGGCTCTGGCTAGGGTACTTATAGCCTTCTAACCTTCGTTCCTCCATGTAGTTTGCAGGGGGCCTCTTATACCTTGAATCCCGAACCTTAAACGCTCCAGTATAGTATAAGCCAGGGCCGAGACGGTGATCGTCGCATTGAAGGCCACATTGTCCCTCCGGATGTCCTTTGCCTTGCACGTATGTGCAATCGGGTTGGAGAGTTAAGGTTACCAAATTGAGAGAGTTAGAAATACACAGGGGGCTGCTTCTATAGCCCAAATCCTGCACCCTAAAACCTGAAGCCCTACAAAAGTCAATCTCGAACCTACAGAGCGAACATCATACTTGGAGGATCTGGAGGTCCAAGTTAATGCGGCTACAACTAGCTGACTAGCTGTAAAAGTACAGCAAACTGAATATCGGTATCTATAACTCAATAAATCGAGCTGTCCATGCTTGGGGTTGGGGCCTGCCTCAACACGGGAGCACTAGAAAAACAAAAACAGTGGAATCCTTGAACTCTGGCTCCAAGAACCCTTAACCTTACTGACTCCCTTTTTTTTGCCACTGGGCTTGGGGACTAGCCAGATCCTTGCATCACGGCCTTTCGTGTTCACCCCGACTCTGTGCAGGTGCATTACTCTGAAGAAAGACCCAAAACCCGAGTTGGAAAAGGGCCAATTGGCAGAGTGAGAAAATACATAGGCCCTACTCTAAGTTACATCATTAATCCAAGGACCCCTCAAAGCAGCTCCCTGCTAGTTTGAAGCAAATGCCACTTCGGCAGAGCAGCATCCATCTCGCCCAGCAGCGCGACAGCTGGTTCCCAGGCTGCGCCCTTCGTACACCTAAGCAGCCAAGCGCAGGTGCAGGAACTCAGTGTTAAATAATGTAGAGCCCCTTTCTGATCATCCACGGCCTTAATGTTGGGATCACTATATAATCCCTTGCAGGATAGGGCGGGGGGGTGGCTAGTGATCAGGGGTTTATACCAGAGATGACTCAACATTAGGGCTTAACATAATGCTGCATGAAGCAATGCGTAGTAAATCATACTAAGGCCGCTTGTGCGCCCTTTGGGGACTGGAGCTTCAGGGTTTTCGGATTTGTGGGTTTCAGGCCTCTGGTTTAAAGCTTAAGGCTTTTGGGGCTTCAGATCTGGACACTCAGTCAAAGGCTGACTTCAAGAACCCGGAGTTAAGCCTCTTAAACAACGCAGATTGCCAAAGCAAGAACATCTTCTATGTCTATGTCGTATGTGGTAATTGAAACCCAACCCTAATGCAGACCCTTGATGGCTGATTAAACCCCTTCCCTTCGTCAAGACCACAAGACATCAAGATGCCTGCTTGGCCCCTCATAAAAGGATGGTTTTCAATCACCAGAAGTGCTCACTGCCATGAACATATTGACCGAATGATTCGGCGAAGGCTCGCATTGATGGCTGTGCTGAAAGCGATTTCGTTGGCGGTTGATGCCTGCATTCCAAGATGCAAGCTCCTCTGACTGTCCGCAGTCACTGCTGCGCATCTACCAGCGAATATCACACGAACCCAGAGTCTGAGTTCAGTCCACGCATCGGCTTGCTAGCAAAGATATACTTCTTGTCGGGCCTCGAATTTCGGAATCGTGGAGTGCAGCATAGTATGACAAGGTTGAGTTGGGGCTGTCCCACTGCTGATACAAAAAACCTTGCATGACCTTAATTCTGAATCCAGAAGCATAACAACTGTGTTGAGTCAAGTTATGCAGAGCACGCGTGACGAACTGTAGGATGCGGTTCAGGGCTCGGCGTCAAGAGACAGTTCAGGGTGCATGGCTATAATAGGATTTAAGCACAGGGGTGTTTAGAGGCTTTTCAGTTCTCAACTTCCAAGGGCGAAAAGTTGTAAACTTGCAGGGACAGCTTTCAGTCTCGGTGCCTCCTGCATGTGCTGCAGCAGAGCCAAGGCTAACGTCCAGTTGCCACCTGGCAGCACGTTTCCTAAAGCCCACTGGCCAAACTCTGGACATTTGCCGAGACCCTAAATCCTGAATGCTTAAGAACACTGAGAGATCTTCGGGGTCTGTGAACGGCAGATGTAGCTTGGTTGAGGGTTTACGATATAGGGGTCCGGTTTGGGGCTTCGGGGTGTTGTGGCTGTTTGAGCTCATTCGCCCGGAGGGTGGGGCCCAAATACCCGAAACCTACGACAGCCCTGGCCCTGAGCCCCCTAGGCATTCGGGCCAGCCGACCTCAAATCCTAAATACACAGCTGCTGCTATCCCTCATCGAAAAGGTCCACGAGCCCGTTGTGGAATTCCAGATGTCACGGCTAGAAACACGTCGAGCCCCGTACTCAGTAAGACCCCGCCGAAACACACAAGATCGTTTCTGTGACGGCAACGTGAAATTGCGAATCTGCGATTGAAGTCGTCCGGCCCCAAAGTCATGGCGCCGGCAAGCTTGGAAAGCTGACCTTGAGACTGTAGCACATGCAGACGATGTTCAAGCCGAGTGTACCGGTAGCTCCAGAGCCGAGGTGCTCGTGCCAGCAGCTGTGCTGCAGCTTCGCCAGTGAAGAACTTTTGTAATAACACATACTTCGAGCTCAAGTTTGAATCAATGCTGTAGCCAAGCACTTGCGGAAACGCTGCGATCATTTCGGCAACCTGTGGCTGGCTGAGGCCCAACCCCCTGACCCACTCGACTGTTGGCTTCAGATTTGCCTCAATGCTATAGCCAAGTACTTGAGGACAAGCTGCTATCACCTTGGCAACCTGCGACTGGCTCAGGCCAAACCCCTTGATACACTCGACTGTTGGCTTCAGATTTGCCTCAATGCTCAATCCAAGCACTTGCGGAAACGTTGCGATCACCTTGGCAACTTGCGACAGGCTCAGGCCCAACCCCTTGATCCACTCGACTGTTGGCTTCAGATTTGACTCAATGCTATAGCCAAGTACTTGCGGACGTCCCAGAATCACCTTGGCAACCTGCGACTGGCTCAGGCCGAACCCTTTGATACACTCGACTGTTGGCTTCAGATTTGCCTCAATGCCCAATCCAAGCACTTGCGGAAACGTTGCGATCACCTTGGCAACTTGCGACTGGCTCAGGCCCAACGCCTTGATCCACTCGACTGTTGGCTTCAGATTTGCCTCAATGCTGAAGCTCAGCAACCGAGGATACCTGTCAATCGCCTTGGCAACCTGGGCTGTGGAGAGGTGTATATCCTTCTGGAGAAACTGTCGAACGTCTGGCCCGCTGTTGTCAGATTTGCCAACCAACGCTGCGTCCACTGCAAAGGCTCTTGCGGATTTGTCAAGTTGTATTTGAGCACATGCCTCTAGTCGCGAAGCGAGCCCAGGCACCAGTTGATCGCGACAGCAAAGCAGCAAAGAATCCAGAACTTGCTGCAGAGTCTTGCGGAGGGAGGGTGCATGGCCTGCCTGCCAGGAATTGACCAGTACTTGCACAAACCTATCTTTCCACTGTCGCTCCTTGTGCACGATTCGAACCACCACTGACCCTGTAGGAGCGAATCGCAGCAGGGCATCGGTCTTGCGCGTGTCCTTAGCCAACCCAGCTGGCTCCAGGTGGCGATAATGGCCATCGTACTCGATGAACAAAGCTGCACCATGTGCTCTCAGCACACCGTGCGCTGTAAAGTCTGGGCGAAGGCTGTTGGAACCCCACTCTTTGCATTTCTTTACCGGAAAATCACGGAAAGCCTTGGTAATGGGCTCACCGGGCATGAGCAGAACTGCCAGCTGGGACAGGAGCTCCACCTCAGCCCTGCTTCCAAAGACCTTCCGAGGCTGGCCCTTCAGCCACCAGGCGGGATCAGTGAACCCCGTCGAAGCCGGTCGGACAGCGAAGCGACAAAGATTCACAAAGGGGTGGTGTATCAGGCCGCCATGACGAAGGAATCGTCTCCAGGACGGATGCTGCATCTTTGTTACCGGCTAAGCCATGACAGCAGGCTACCCCATCTATCTGTGCTGTGCTGAACGAGGCCGCCGCCGCAGAGACATGCACGTTGCTTAACTCTGCATGAGTTTGAGATGTTGGGGATGCCCAGTAGCCTAGGAATAAAAGGGCTCCCTTTTCGGTATTGGGTAACTTTATAGAGAACCTAGGACCAACAAAAAGGGAATAAGGGTACTACTTTGCATCCTAGACAACTACTTTTAAGTGTGTTGGGCCTCTTCAGTCGGTGTGCGCGCCTCAGATTTCCGACTCTCAAAGGGGAAAAGGAGGGACCCTTAATGGGGACCCCTACCCTATCAAGGGCATATACCTAGGGGTCCTTATTAAGGGTCCCTCCTTTTACCCTTGGAGACTCGAGGCCTCCGGAGCTCCGAACCACAAATCCTACCGCCTGACATCGGTTAAGGCCCTTGAACCCTAGAGCCCTAAATACTGTGCTGGAATCCCACAACCTAAAGTCCGAAACCCTACATCTGAAAGCCCAAAACATAAACTTCCTAAGAACCAAAGCTGCGAAAAGCCGAATCCTAAACCCCAACTTTCAACCCACTCTCAACGACTCAAGCCTAAAACCCGGAAGCCGTCATACAAGCCCTAATGCCCTAAAGCTCTAAAGCCCTTGAGCCCCGGAAAATGAAGCCCTAAACCCTAAACCTTAAACCCTAAACCTTAAACTCTAAACCTTAAACCGTGCCTAGATCGCATGCTCGAATGGCCGAGCTCCAGGTGATGAAGTCTGGATCCAGATTCTGCCTCCCCAAGACTTCGGTGGGTCCAATACTAGGATGCCCAGTAACCTAGAAATAACAAGGGCTCCCTTTTGGTATCGGGTACCTTTATAAGGAACCTAGGACTACAAAAAGGGAATGTACCAGCTTCTGCCTCCGAAAGAGCACGGAGTGTTCAATAGAGGGGCCTTCAGAACAAAAGGGTCTGGGGTTTGGGGTTCTGGTTGTGGCTTCTGCTCTTATCTGAGGCACCATCTGGAATCCTGCCCAACAAACCCTGAACCGTAGATCCTCGCGAAGTTCACGGCAGGACAGCTTTTGCCCGTGGTCACGGCGCTGTCAGCAGACATGGAGCGTGCACAACACCAACGATCCGGTGAGCTACATGACCCACTCTAAGCACCGAGCTAGAGACACCTGTGCTGGGAGTCACCGAAACCAATCCAGACTCATGTGGAGAGCCCATACCCCGAAACCCGAAACCTCAACCCTCTGTAGCTCCAAAACCAAAACCCTCAAGTCCAAAACAATCCAAACACACCTCTTAGAGTCTTAGAGGAACCCTTGAAAAAGAACAACTTATACAAAACCGTCAAAGTCGGGCTGCCTCGGTAGGTCTTCGAAAAGCCTCAGCGAGAGCTGCCACTGCTGGCCACGAGCGCAAGCGGCGATGGTGGTGTTGAAGGAGATGATGTCCTCGATGTAGGGCTTCTTTTTTGAAGCCCAGTCTTCAGAAATTAGGGGTTGATGTTGGGATCAAGGTTTAGGATTTCGAGTCTCTTCGGTTCACGGCTCTGTTAAAGGCTTGTAAGCCTACATAGCTCCAGGCTTCTGGGTGTAGGCTTTTGAGTCCAGGTTGAAGGGCTTACATGGGGTAGCAGGTTTACGGTGTTGCTCGAAGATCTAGGGATTAAGCCTCACGACTCCGGGTGACATTTGGGCGCGATTGCGTTTCTTGGAGGTGATGCAAGTGTTTAGTTTTTAGTGTTTCGGATGTGCAGCAAGGCTTCAGAAAAAACTTGCTGCTTCAAGAACTGTGTTGTTATGTTTCGTTCTTCCTTCTCCCGAAGACTTCGGCAGGCCTGCGTGAAGCATGTAATTTGCCATGCCAACCATGACAGCACTTACTGCAAGTCCCGAATGCTTCCTTTGTCCAGTGGAGATCGCTCCACGGATTAACATCGGCATCCAGAGAGCCCATACCCCTCAACTGTAGTGGAGGGGTACGGCGTAACTCGTATATCGTAAAGTCATAGCCAATAATGGGAGATCATGGTACGCACCGTGTATGATCGAAGGGAATCTCACCACCATCTGACGAGTAGTGAGGTCTTGGAATCGTGAGCAACGAGCCGCGCTTTGCCCACCACTTCATATCAAAGATGTCCTAGGTCTGGTTTCTGAGCAGCCCCTTGATAATGAGGTATCCCTTTTCCTACTATTTGGTGTCAGCAATGGAACCCAGCAAGAAAGAGAGCAACAGGCGGGAACCTAGTGACCAGAATCACACGAACCACTTGTGGTACTTGTTTTAGGACTTGAGGTATGCCCCCAAACCACCGGATTCCTTCTCTGCCAACCGAAACCTAAGCCCCAACACCCAGAGCGCTGAAGGAGCACCAAAAGCCCGAACCCAAAACTAACCTCAACCTTGAACCACACAACCCTAAACTCAAAACCACCCCCAAACCTCAAACAACTGCTCTTCTAGACGGCAAACTCATTCATGATGAAACCTGATAACCCTGACAGGCTCAGCTCCACCTCTGCCACGGCGTGTCGCTTCGAAGCCAAGTAGTCCCGTCTCTGCTCGCCTTCATGGCTTGACTCCGAGAGCACAAAGCTCGGACGGAAGTTTTGCACATTGCCAGCTACATCGTGGTGCTGGGAAGCAGTGTTTGCCTTGGTCGCCACCAGCTTGGCGAATTCCATCCACGTGGTGGCTCTGGAAGCTCGCGCAGCATGGAAGCCGAATGCACGCTGTGATCCGGCCAGCTTGGACGGCACATGCCCCAAAGTGCATCTGAAATTGTACACTGAATCCTCACATCCCTAGGGTTGAACCCCTCTACATGCCCGCCCCCTCCCCTCCCAGAAGTCCTTCTGCACCTGGAAACGGCCCATCTCCTCTGTGCGGTCTCGTGGGGTTCAGCTTCCCGAGCTTCAGAAGCTGAGAGGTTCATCAACTAGCATTTAGAGCTTAGGGTCCTTAAGGTTTAGGTTAAGGGTTTTAGACTTTAGGGATTACGTGGTTTTAGGGCTTGACGACATTGAGCTTCTGCGTCTAGGTGGGATGGAGGGCTAAGAGTTTCGCAGGTAAGGACTTTCGGTAACGGTCCTTCAGGGTGTTGGCTCCTTGTGTAGGGTCTTAGCAGGTCAAGGCTGTACTGCGTATGCGCAGGACTCATTTCAAACGAGTTCAGGCTATTGTAGTCATGGTAAAGTTAAAGGGTTCAGAGTGTCGAGGGTCGATGATTTGTGGCGAGGATCACGCCTGCTGGAGGCGATACTTGGCTCCTTCGAGGTGTTTGGGGTAGGCTCAACATAGAAATGTGCCGAAAAGCTTGGAGAATCAGCGACCCCCAAAGCGCAATACCCCGCAACAGTCTCAGAGGGGCGGGGGTGAAGAAGCCTTGGAATTACCCCCCGCCCTTGAACCTATGCTTCTTCGGCTATGCTTCGTTCGCTGTGCCCAGACATGTTAAGATGTCTCTGTAGTAACACTACGTACGATGACGCTGCAAAAACCTGAAGGCTACCTACCCATTTGCGAAGTCGAGTTTTATGTCTTGGTATACAATGTTATCCTTACGGTTCCGAAATAACTATGAGAGACGCCACAACCTTGTTCTAATCAGGATTAAGGCTGATTAAGGTCCCTGTATTCTGTCAAGGTCAAGCTGCCCACAGCATGTCGACCGCGTGTTGCCACTGGTGCGAGCGCTCGCAAGCCTCCAGTGTGAAACGTTGGGCTGAGGGTTTGTCGGGCTGGCGGGTTGTGGGTTTCTAGGGCTTGCGGTCTAGGGTTTAGGGTTTTGCTGGTTAAACCCAACACACGTTCTAGGCCCTACGCTCGGAAACTGAAATCCTGGACATTCCTAGACCACAACCACGAAGGGCAAGCTAAGCTCAGACTCCGTGTATCTCTTATTCCGAACCCGAACACCCCAAAGCACCACAGCCCGAATCCTCAAAATCAAAACCTAAACTCAATGATTCGAAGTGATGCTTCTTAAACCGTCCTGAACCCGATCAGCCCAAATATGCACGCGAACACCGTGAAGCCTCGAAACCTGATTTCCTGAACCCGAGAAAACACTGGGACCTCGAGACCGCGAATCCTACATCTCATGCTTCGGGGATCAGGTGACTTGGAGATAGGCTATAAAGAGTTGCTTAGAAACTTAGAAGCTAATCTGCAACGTCTTGGCAGGGATGTGCGAAAAACTTTCATAACCTAAACCCTAAGCCCCTGAACCCTCATACTCAAACCCTACGTCACACCGATACCAGGCTGAGTAACCCCGGCGTGCCGCCCTGCATGCTGAGGCCTCTGAACAGACTTGAAACAGTGCCTCTTCCCAGAGAGCCAATCCCCCCGAACAATGAATATCCGTCGAGCGACAGGTTTCGCGTAATTTCTACAGGGCTGCAGAGGGTCCTGAGGCATGGCATATGAGTCAAGGTGTATAGCTGAATTGAGGGGTAATTATTTAGCTCTTTGGAGTATGGTATGTGCGCTGACGGGAACCTATAACTTATAACTACAAGGGCCCCCTCAACCTGAACAGGAAACGAACAACGCCCAGATCAAGACGCATCCAAGCCGCACTTATGCTGGCGTTGTAGTGCAGCCTTCGCTCACACTCTCGTGCAGAAGCTTCACTGTGGTTGGGCCGATGTCTGCATCTGAAAATTCGGGAAGAGCATTTGATGTAGGGGCCTTGTAACTATAGGACAGGGTTTTGGAGTACGTTGCAGCGTAACTTTATTAAGGAACCCCAAGGAGTAGCATCGGCACCTATTGGTACATATTATTAGGTCCTTAGGTTTTGGGCCTGAGCATCCTCCGGGACCGGTGTCTCCCATTCTATGATTCCAAGGATGAAAAGCTGTGAGACCGGACAAACACTGGACCCCCTGAACCCATGTCGGCGGCTGTTCCAAAAGTTCCCTTTTTAAGGTACCCAGTTGAAGCACGGCCGATTACAAGAAGGACTTGAAACTATTTTCAG